CGTACAGGACAGGAAGTTAAGACAGTTCTCAGGCTCTTTCCACGGCCAAGAGCAGCATTCCACATTCTTTTGGCTTCCCACTTGCTTTTTCAGTGTCATTTGTTGTTTGAAGGTAACGGCAGAAAGACTTTGGCACCTGGCTTATCCTGACATCCTCCACCACCACCACTCTTTTGAGAATCATCTGGGTTAGGATCTGTTTGAAAGACCGTCTAAGTGCCAGATTTTTTATTCCACTTCTTCCCACTCCTGCCTTCTGGATCACCTCTCTTGATATCAGAGGACCATGGGCAAGAAATGACAGCCTGACACCTAAGTTATGTTCCTAAGATGGCGTGTGCTAGCCTGCTCCCCTCAATGCTGCTACAGTCAACTTATCCAGGGACATTGGGGAGTGAGAGGGAGGCATGGGTGGTATGAATCAGACAGAATGAGGTTCAAATATGCACTGCACTGCAAAAATAAAACAGGAGGCTAAACTACCGGGAAGAAAGAGAGTAATGTAATTAGGCAAAGGCCGGGTTAGAGAGATGAGGCAGCAGATTGGCAAACATAAAGATAAAATGTTTCCGAAAATGTATTCAGAGTTATGACACGAAAAAAATCAACATTTTCAGCTGCTCTAAGCCAAAAAAGGCCTAGCAGCAATAGATGCTATCCATCTTCCCTAAATACTGCTGGTCCTTCTTGCTGTTCATTTCCTTTCCTATCACTGCTAAGGTCTCAGAAGAGTGTCAGTAGCCTAGACGTAAAGATTGGACTGCGAGGAGTTAAGAGGTCTCTTTATCTGCTAACCACTCACTTACATCTTAACGCTTCGCATCATAACCTCTACCTCAACATGCTGACTCACACTTGAAGATAAAAAAAATTAGTCTCTCGGGGGCTGACCTGGTAGTGTAGTGGTTGGGTTTGGGCACTCCGCTTTGGCAGCCTGGGGTTTGCAGGTTCAGATCCCAGGCACGGACCCAGCACTGCTCGTCATGCCATGCTGTAGCGGTGTCCCACAAAAATAGAGGAAAATTGGCACAGATGTTAGCTCAGTGACAATCTTCCTCAAGCAAAAAAGAGGAAGATTGGCAACAGATGTTAGGTCAGGGCCAATCTTCCTCACACACACACAGAAAAAATTAGTCTCTCCATTTGATGCTCCAGAAAAATCACAAATATACAGTGACTCCTTTCTGAATGACTATGGAGTAATGAGGTATTGGAGTGTCTGAAATGATAGATCCTAAAAAACAAAGGCTAGAGAAGACAGGAAGTGAAGACAGGAGGGGACTGACAAGATAGGAGCAAAGTAAAATGGTGAAGGAAGTGGTACTGCCTAACATGCCTACTATTCTGCACTTGATGTTAAATCTGGATGGACGCCTTCTTTATATCCTCTTGCTCCTAATCATTTTATTAGGTATACTTCCCACACGTGCTGGCTAATTACTACTTATAAATATTCCAGTCAACTGCTGGATACGTCCTCTTGAACATTCCAATAGCAGCTAAAAGAAATCACTATCCACCTTCAAATCACAGTTCTTTCATGACTTGCCCATCTATTCTGTTAATGAAATCCCTATTTTCCCAATTATTTATGTTCAAAACAAAATAGTTTTTGGGGCTGGCCCCGTGGCCGAGTGGTTAAGTTCGCGCGCTCTGCTGCAGGCGGTCCAGTGTTTCGTTGGTTCGAATCCTGGGCGCAGACATGACACTGCTCATCAAACCACGCTGAGGCAGCGTCCCACATACCACAACTAGAAGGACCCACAACGAAGAATATACAACTATGTACTGGAGGGGCTTTGGGGAGAAAAAGGAAAAAATAAAATCTTTAAAAAAAAAAAAAAAAAAAAAATAGTTTTTGTGGTTGTAACTCCACATCTAATGAGTCAACAAACTGTGTATATTCTTCTCAGTGCCTCTAAAGGCTGTCATTTCTTTTCCTTTTCCAGTACAGTAGCCTAACTTAAAGGCCTTATTACCTCCACTTAGATAGAAAGCCTCCTGCATAAATTCCCATCTTAGGGACCAAAGTCTGATGGTTTCTTAAGTACCTTTGCGTCACCTCCCCTGCTCTAAGATCCCCAGTGGCTTATTTAGTACTATTCCCCTACATGAACCCACTGATGCAGCGCTGCTCACCTCAGCGCCTTAGGCCACACTATTCCTTCTATCAACAATGCTTTCTTCCCCCACTCCCCACCCCCCTCACTGCCTATTGAGTAATTAAGAGTATAGGCTCTGAAGACAGACTGCTGTGTTCAAATCCTGCCTACCACCTGCAGCCTGTATGACCTTGGGCAGGTTACTTAATCTCTCTATGTCCTCATCTTTAAAATGGATCTATGAATTGTACTTGACCCACAGGGCTGTTCTGAGGATTGAACAAATTAATACATGTAAAGCACTGAATAGCACCCAGAACATGGTAAGTATACAATAAATGCTAGCAATAATTAATAATAGTCAATTTAAAGGTCTACTAGTAATTCCGCTTTCAGACAATTAAGGTCCCCCTCCCTCAAATTCCCACAGCACTGTATATTTGTACTATTTTTGCAGTCAGCCTTAAATTACAGTTTCTTGAGACAGGAGGTTACATATCTGTTTTTGTATTCCCCAGGATTCTGTATTCTTCCACAGCAGAAGTCAAGCGCAGACATACATTCAAAAGGCAACGTTATATACATGATGGACCTCTCTTGCCCCAGAAGAGCTCTATGAGGCCAGGAGCATTCAAAAGCACTTCAGATGAGCAGTGAAGGCAAGCAGCTGCAGGGGACGAGTGACCAGAGTTTATGTCACACAGGTCTGTTTGGTTCGCTGCCTCATTCATTCTTCCATTAAGTTCATAAATATTACTGAGCCCTAAACACTGGCAAAGGTGCTAGCTAGTCCCTGTCCCAAGACTACAGAGTATAAACAACAGACTATGGTTATTTCAAAGGCAGCAGAAAATTGAGGAACCAAGGATTTTTTTGGACCCAAACATTATTTACATAAGTTATTCCGTGAGTTCATTTAACAGTGACCTCAGCATATACACCAGAGCAAGAACAGGGGTTGTCTTTGGGTTGGAAGAGTGTAGGTGCTTTTCTTTTTCTTTTCTGTTTATCCTACGTGAACTTCAACTGATTTGGCAATAAGGAAAAAAAGAATAAGTGTCAAAAAAATTTTTTTAATTCTCTCATCCTATGGCTCAATTAACAAATATTAATTTACCACAGCCCACACGTTATAAGCTTTAATCATGTTAATTTTCTTCCATTTTTAGAGTAACAGAATGGTGTTAAATCAAGTTATTCTTAAGTGAGTAAAGTCTTCCCCACAAGAAGGCAAGTACTTAATGACTTGGTTGAGGACATTTGGGTACTGATCTTAGTAAAACTATAAAGCTAACAGAATCAAACACAGGGCTGAGTGTCCCAAGTACTTAGAACAACATATAAAGTATGAACATGTACAGATATAAAATGTGGATGGAGGTTCACCAAAATAACCTTGGTTATCTCTAGGTGGGGGGAATCGGGGTGATTTTTACATTGTCCTTATGCTTTTCTATATTGTCTCAATATTTTGATAATGAGCATATATCATTTTCATAGACAATAAAATTATTAATAAAAACAGATGATGGGTAGGAGTAGTGGCTTAATAGCTGCCACAGTTGCTAGACAGGATCTAGATCTTTGCTACTTAAAAGTATGGTCCTCAGATCAGCGACGTCAGCGCCATCTTGGAGCTTGTCAAAAACACAGACTTTTCAGGCCCTGCTGCAGACCTCCTGATTCAGAAGCTACAATTCAGCAAGATCCTCAGTGATTCACATGTTCACGTTGAAATGTGAAAAGCACCGATTTTGACGCTAAGGCCTTTATATGTGGGGAGCATAGGAGCAACGTCTGCCTTATTCACTGTATCCCTAGCACCCAGCAGTGCCTGAAACATAGAAATATTTGTTGAATAAACAAATATGTAAATGATATTACTTCTGAGTAGACAATTAGAAAGACAGTGGAGAGTATATCTATTTCAATTATTTATTTTCTGCCAGAGTTCCAAGAAGTGAGTGCTTACTATTTGCTGTAAATGCTATTAAATTATCTCAATAACAATGTTGGCCCTAAGAATCTACTATGACTATGTGTAATCCTTTTTTTAAAGGAATCCTTGCTCTGGGATCTGCATGTCTCCTTCAATCATTTCTCTAGCCTCCTATCTATGGGAACATCCTACAGTTAGTGACTCTCTATAATCTCTCCCTCAAAGCAAATTCATTTTCAAGACCTCTGAGAGAAAAGCTACTATTTAAGTTCCAGCCTATTAACTCCATCTGCCTATATTTTCCAACTCTATTCCTACAACTCAAACTTAACATGTTCAAAATTAACAATTTTATTCTCCATCAACTCTCTCCCTCCCCGCTTCATGACAGTAGTTCTCATCCTCACAGACTCGTGTTTTACAGGTTTTTACAGAAGAGATACCACCTAGTCCAACAACATCACTTTACAGAGGAGAATAGGATCTGGACGAATTAAATGACAGCCCAAGAGGTGAGTTATTGGCAACACCAGAATCCGGTTACAATCTAAACCACCTTCCTCCCAATACACTATTGCATGCTGCACTTCTGACAGGATACTCATTTGGGTCAACAGCACTTAAATTCACCTTTTAGGAACCCAATCAAGTCCTGTATATTGCTGACATTTCTCTCATTCCTTTTTTCTTCTTTTTCAGAACATACTGCACTTCTTGCCACTTAGGGTTCCTTCAACATCCAATGCCATCCTTCCCAAATCCTCTATCCTCTCAAAACCTACCTCCACAAATACTCTAAAATATAAATGCCTACTCCTGCCTACTCTTTATCCATGATTGTCAACAGAGATGGTTCCTGATGATTCAAGCCTTCCATCCTCAGTGTACAGCTCAATCCCAGCATTTTCTACTGCGCTTCCCTCTTTTCCCAATTCCTAATGCACCGCTCCATCACTTACTTTGATATTTGTTCACAGGCTGATGTTAATTCTTTGGAAACCGGCTATCTTCAAAAGTAGAAAGAACCTGGTATCACCTAGGTCCTCTTTTTACACCTGAGAAAACTGAGGCCCAGACAGAAGTGACTTGCCTCATGTAACTTGAGAAATTGGTGATGGTGATGAAATCTGAACTCAGTTCTCAGGACTCCTATTCAAAGCTTCTGACAGTCACCTCTGCACAAACCCTGTCTCTCCCGACATCCTCCAGCTGATAATGCAAACAAAAGGCAGACGTCAAAGCCATAGGAAACTTTATTGAGTATGGCTAGATTTAGTGTCCACCCAATTATTAAGCACACAAAGGGAGCGCTTCCGGAAATATTCCTCCAAATGAACTAAAAGTGGAAGCCCGGGGGAAAGCATCAGAAGAGACAAGGATAGTTAATTAAATTGCTCCCTCTCTATAAGGCTGCTTCTCACTGCCCACGGAAGAACTCCACATTCCTTCATGGGGCATCAAGGTCCTTCCCAGCCGAGACTCCCCGTTAGCTCCCGCCACATTCCTGGCCTTCCCTTCCCCACCCCCATCCCTCCAGCCATTACCCTAATAAGCGGTGCTGTGAAAACCTGGCAGATCCTTTCGCGCTTCGGCACCTTCGCACACATTGGTCCCACAACCTGCAATGTCCTTCTGACCCACGCCTCGTCCTCTCGAAAATCTCGATATGGCTCTCACGACCCTGCTCAAACATCACTACCACAGCCCAGGTCCTACAAGGGTCCTGATCGCCCTCCAAAACTGAACTGGTCCCAGGATGCGGATTTAACTTGCTGACACGCCCAGCAGCGTGGGAAGGACTGCCCGAGGACCTCTACCACGAGGTGCTCCTGACTCACCGAGTACCCCCTGCCCGGAGCGCGCTCCACCTGTGGCCGCCGGGGGGAGGGCAGGTGCCCAGAATGCCGGGGGCTGCCCATGAGGGCACCTGAGCCACCAGCGGCACCTGTCTCCAAGGGCCTGCCCATCCCCAGCAACCCAGCTGAGCCTCCCTTACCTTTTCTCACACAACAGCAGCGGCAGCTCCGCTTTACGGCACTCCCAGCAACCGCTGCAAAAGGGCCGTCAAGTGCAGAGCCGCGGATGCCTGCCTGATTGGTCTCGGAGACGTTCCCACGGTCCTGACCTGGGCCTCCGCCAGTCCCCGACTCCCGGCTGAGTCCTGGAGATTTCCTGGGCTTTGGAATCTAACCACTTAGCCGTTTCATCCCTTGCCTAGGTTATAACTACATCAGCGCCCTGAGGCGACCAGATTGTAGGAAGTGGACCAAGAATTGGAGAGGCACCAGCTAAGCTGTTTCCTAAAGCGTGTGAGTTTTCGAGATAAACTGTAGGATGCCAGTTAAATGTGAATTTCAGATAAACGACGAATAATTTTTTAGTGCGTGTGCTATGCAGAGGGATTCAGAATAACTCCCTGAATTCTGGTTCGGGTACCACCAAGCGAGATGGGGGATAGCGTGGGAAATTGGAGCAGCGTTTAACACGGCTCACGAGGTTGAGGCGCCTGCATGACATCCAGGCTCCAGCGGACTGTTACACTCTGGGAATATACACACACAATTCCGAACCTGGTTCTTTAACTTTTAACAGTGTAATCTAAAGGATTATTGTTAGAGATCAGATCTAAATCAGTTTTGACATGAAGTTTGAAAACTATAACGCACGAAACAAATGGTTGTAATTTTGTTCTACAAAAATGTTTTATTAGCCCAATAGTAAAAACTGAAAATACTCCCCTCATAAATGAGTTGTTTTCCAAACTTTGTTTTTGGAAAAGTGTAAAATGAAGTCTTTTTCTTTCTCATTTCCTAGCGGCTATGACTCTTACCACTTTGTTTTTCTTGCAGACATTTTCTGTGTACGTACAAGCTTATTCTGTAGAAGTGCTCTTATTACTTAGAACTAGTTCTTCTGTATACTTATAAGTGGAAGTTGGTAGGTTAATGAAAAAGTAGGTAACACCCAGAGGAAGGAAGTTATCAAAGATTAATGGGATCATTGGACACAGGTGCTAACGTAAGGGACCTAACATGGGAAACTTTGAGGATCAAAGAATAACTGCTATTGATTGAAACACATCAAATATATAAAAATTCTTAACTTCATAATGACTCTTTAAAACTGAAACTCATTAGCCATGATTGAAGGTTGCCAGGGCACCAAATCACTATCCTGAAACTTGATAAAGGGAAAAACATCAAGCATTTATCCTTCCTTTCTTGTGTGAACTGTATTTCAGTCTAACCAAAATGCTAATGAGAATTCCAGCTCATAAATGAAGAATGAATGATGGAACAAACACCATTTTGCTACTCTTAATGAAATAATACAAAAGACAACACTTATGACTAGATGGTAAAATTAAGGTGAAATGTCGACAGGGAACTTTTTAATGGATGGATTAGGCTGGCACCTCCTGCACCCACCGATCAGTCTTATTATTAGGTCTGGGACAACCAGACATGTACTTCCTGACGTGATGCAACAGAATAAAGGATCCTTGCGAAGGATTCTTGCCTAAAAATTGAACCTGCATTTAATCAAAACTTCAGATTTAACACGGGATATAGAGACCAGCTAAATTCAGAATGTGGGACATGCTACAAGACAAATGCCCCAGTTTCTTTATCAATGGCATTTAAAAAATAGGGAGGGAACTACTACAAAATCAGAGACTTAAAAGGCATATGAGTAAATGCAAGTGTGGACCTTGTCTGGATCCTGACATAAAGACATTTTGTGAAACAAGTGAAATTTTAATATGGACTGAGCCATTAGATGATACTAAAGAATTGCTGTTAATTTTGCTAAGAATGTTAACAGAATGTGGCTGTGTTTAAAAGTCATCATTGATGAGTATTGCAGTACTTACAGGTGACATTTTTTAAAACTTTAAAAAAGATGACACAATCCTAGCAAAATGTTAGTTGATAAATCTAGGTGATGAGCATAAAGGTGTTCGTTATTAATAGCCTCTCTACCTTTCTGTACGTTTGAAAATTGTCATAATAAAACTAACAGGAAAAGGGGGAAATTATCAGTTCTTAGAAGTAAATACTTTTCAAGTGCATAACAAATCTTGTTCCATGTAAACCTAAAAAAAAGGCAGTTACAGCAGAGGATTATAGTGGCCAATATTTTGATTTGAGCTAAGCTCTTTTTAAGTATGGATCAACTGATTAGTTTCTCACTGCTTTGCTTTTTTTTCCCCCCCAAAGATTGGCACGTGAGCTAACATCTGTTGCCAATCTTCTTTTTTGTTGTTTCTTCTTCTTCTTCTTCTTCTTCCCTGCAAAGCCCCCTCCCCCCTCCCCCCCCCCCCCCCAGTACATAGTTGTATATTCTAGTCGTAGGTCCTTCTGGTTGTGCTATCTGGGATGCCGCCTCAGCATGGCTTGATGAGTGGTGCCATGTCCGCACCCAGGATCCGAACCGGCGAAACAATGGGCCACTGCAGCGGAGCCTGCGAACTTAACCCCTTGGCCACAGGGCCGGCTCCTCTCACTGCTTGTCTTACATAAACCACAGACATAATACATTGTCTGTAATTTCTAGTTTCTTTAAAGTGGATGAGGAAGTTAACGATACAAGTGAAGGAATCTGAACTCAGAGTCCTAGATTTTTATTTTTTGCAATTCTCCCCTATCATTTACAATATCTTGGACACAACTAACTTGTCAGCAATGTTTTTTACCTCTTCATCTCTAAAGTTTCCCCCACTTACCTTATAAGTAAGTTTTCATAGTCATATTTCATCGGTTTATGTAATACTTAAATTATATAATTACAACAGTGACTGCCACTGGCATAAATAGGTTTGGGAACAAACAGCTAACTGGAGGTAAACATACAACTGGTGGGGACAGTACTTCTCCAGAGGGAAACCCAGCTGTGAGCCTTCAGCTCACTGTGAATGAATGTCAGGATGCTTTAACCTAGTTAGCCAATCCAGATGGATGAGGGGTACAAGGATAGGTAAAAACAGCCTCTCTTATAGGCAAACATCCATCTTTTAAAAATCACTCAAATGCAGGAAATCCCACACATCCCGGCCACTCTAACACTGTGGGGCCTGGGGCAAGAGTACAAATGGAGGCCAACACTGACATTTAAGTGTCTAAATAGATAAGAATTAACAATAAATAAATACCTTGACAAATATTTCTTCTCATGTAACAGAAATCTAAGTTCAAATTTGGGATTCTCAGACATGTACTGGAAAGTCACAGCATGAGAACCAGGTTGGCCTGTTCTTCTTCCAAGAACCTGGGTCTGTCTCCTTTTACTTTTTTTTTTTTAAAGATTTTTTTTATTTTTTCCTTTTTCTCCCCAAAGCCCCCCAGTACACAGTTGTATATTTCTTGCTGTGGGTTCCTCTAGTTGTGGTATGTGGGACGCCGCCCCAGCGTGGTTTGATGAGCAGTGCCATGTCCACGCCCAGGATTCGAACCAACGAAACACTGGGCCGCCTGCAGCGGAGCGCGCGAACCCAACCACTCGGCCACGGGGCCAGCCCCATGTCTCCTTTTACTTTTAACTTCAGCTTGCCACAGTGGTCCTCATAGCATGCAGTGTGGACACCCCAGGCTCCACATCCAAGCTCCATCCACACCCCTCACACACTGCCACCCCTTGAGTATACGAGTATATACACCTGTAGTGCAGCCTTTGTTCAGGATGGACTTGGGGAAGAGTTCTGCATGTGTTCTGGAAGCAGGTTTTGGGGTGGTCGGGCAGGGAATTCTGGGGTCCTGGCTATCTGGTGCATAGTCTAGAACTGGGTAGAGGATCACAGACTCCAAGTGGATACCATCCCTTGGCTCCTTCAATTTTTCATTCCAGAAGACAGGCACAGCCAGAGAGAGAGGATCAGGGCAGGGACCCCTCTTGTCCAAGTCTAAGTGCACATACACATCCATGGTATCATACTGTATATACTATTGGAGAGTGCTTTTTCCATTTCATAATATCGTGAATACACTGCCATTTATAGCATATTCTCTAACAGCTGTGTAGGGTTACCTGGAAACACCACAATCTAATCATCCCGGTGATCTTGTGCAAGATGGGCATAAATGTCTTACTAGTATGATGTGGTGTAAATGTAAAATAGGATTTAGTAAGGGAAATACTTGGACAGCAAAGTAGAGTGCACATAATTTCCTGAGCTCTTATCCCACAGAGATGCAGCCAGGCACAGCAGGCCTGGTAAACCAATGAAAGGGCTCTAACTGAAGCCAACTCCCATAATGGGCTACTTATTTACAACATTTATGGTGGGGGGGGGGAATGCAGAATATATCTGGGCAATTACCTAAAATGGTAGCTTACCGGTGAAGCACATTAGAAAAAGGGGAGCCTTCAAAATTCTGGTAGCCCATTCTTTTCTTCAATTAACAATTAGGTCCTTGTATTTTGCTATCATAATGCTGCAATGAAT